GGCTTGTACAGCGAAATATGCCAAGAAATAGATTGTGCATTGTATTGTTTCTGTCCTGATTATGTAAATACAAAACAGGCAAACATTATTTTAAATTACAGAAATACACAAGAAAGCCAGGTATTATAAGGAGGAAGTAGGAAAAACTAGAAAAATCGAAGTGAATATAAGAATTAATGTATGAAAGATAAGCCAATATGTAGGAAACGTCTTTGAATGACTTTATTTTAGTCAGATATAAACTTTAAAACCATGTCTTTACTGGCTTTCACGGCGGAATAAAACATGGAAGGAGGGAAAAAAAAGGGGGGAGGGGGGTAATGTCTTAGGCCTGAGGATGTACGGCTGATCAGCTAGTGAAATGAAGAATATTCTATATAACCTTTCTAATTTATCAACTGTCGTCCGCATGTGGGATGCTGTTTTTAGTTATTTTGAAGCCCCACCCTGGATTTTGCTGGGGGCCATAAATATAGCCGGGCATGTATTGTGTCCAAACGGCTGAACGGGGTGCATAATGGCACTTTGTGTCACCAGGTGTTTATCGCTTGTGTGACGTCCTGGTGAAGTACAACCTACTTACTTACTGTAACCTTTCTCAGTCAATTGAGAGGAGAAAGAAGAGAGTTCTCAAGAGCAATATATGTCATATCCTGATATACGGAAGTCAATCATGGACAATTAGTGAAACGATTAGTGAAAAATAATGAAACGTTTGTAATGTGGTTTTTATAGAAGAATGACGAGAAAACTCTGGACAGATTAAAAATAGTAATGAAGATGTCTTGAAAGAAACAGCCACACGAAGAAAACTGACTGACCATATAAGAAGACCAGCGTAATTTGACCACAATACCCACCAAGTTCCGATTGGTGTATAGAGTATGGTTCTAGCCCCATATGCCCATTCCGCCTGAAGGTTTGGAAAATGATCCTTCAATTTGTTAATACTTACATCAAATGAAGACAATCTACATTCTGTGGTCAATAGAAGGAGAAAACTGAAGTACATCATGACAGCGGGAAAGTTGGAGGGGAAAAGAGACAGATGGAGATCGGGAGACAAGATGATGGACTGTTTGACATCATGGCTTGATAGGTAATCTAAGTCAAAGTTGCTTGAAAATCTGTGGACAGTCATGACTACCAATGCCACACGGCATGGACTATAAGAAGAACAATCACTTGGAACTGTACAGGACTAGATTTTTTTTTCCGCCTGTCAGCTTAACAACATCGACATTTCCAAACTGAGGCTTCGAACTTGGCTCTGTATCAAGAGAGCACATTGACTCTAGCTATTCGTCCAGCCATTCTGGGGGGGGGGGGGGGGGGGGGGGGTATGAACCATATAAGCTCATGTGAGACGTAGCTTGACGTCTTCGTGTGCAAGATCATGTTGTCTTAACGCCCTCTTTGTGTGGATCAGTTATCACTATAGATCGATGGATTGGTCCATGCGAGCTGCTACCCGAAGATTTAACATACCACCATGAATTTAAAGAATCTCAGTCTGGACGGCTGACCAACAAGGTAGATCATACATACCCTGTTCAACCTCCAAAGAAGGTATTATTAGGACACCCATAATGACAACACAAGCCAGGTGTAACCGACAGTCCGATGAGTGTATAGAACAATGTACTTAGCACTGAATGGTTGATCTAGTTATATAACGCCGGCCACCTTTACCTAATAAAACATTTCCTTGTACCCAGTTCAAGTGTTGATATTGGCTTGCATCCTAATCGCTTCAGCTAGCGCAAAGCCTAATGGTGTTTATGTCAAAAGGGTCGTCTGTATTTGCAGAAGCTTTTATCCAATTTGACCGTCTGTTTGGGTAGAACTACTAGTAGTCTGCGGAAGACGTCGCACACATCACGAAATTCACAGCTCTTATGACGATCCCCGGAAATCTCAGTAAAAATTACATTCGCGAACTGAACGACTGAGTCTGACAACGAGCGTCAAAAACCTTCATCACTCAGCCACAGAGTCATCCTGGCTAAATGATCTCATGGGCTCCAATTTGTCTAGGAGACTTAACGTCTATCTAGTTTTATCTAAAATTGTCTGACTTGCATTCCGTACTGTTCACAGCTTTTCTGACTAGTATTTATTTCCGGTGGTCACACACGTGTCAGATATTCAGCTGGTCAGACAGACATGTGATTCCTATCGGAGACACTTCAGTTAAGTGGTTTTGTGTATTCCTGTTCGCGTTATTGTATATTCATGAAATTTGCTGATGAAGGCGCTTTAGCAGTGAAGCTTACTAGTTTTACTTTGCGCTTCGATTGATAAATTTATCCGACAAAATAAATTAGTGAGAAAGACTCAAACTTCTAGATTTAAAGGTGCATGATTAAAAGACAAGATGATCGGTTACACTCGTCCTTACCAGCTAAAGAAAAAAGCAGGTTAAATCGCGCTTGCGTTACATGATCCCTAGTTATAATTTTTTTTTTTGAGACTGAATATAGTAACTGAGATCAGTTCTGCTGGTTTGTGATCCGGGTTGAGACTTATGGGCAAACGGGTCAATTTAATTTAACAGGATGTTATACGCTTTTCGTTTCTCCAAGATAAAAATACATGATCTTGAAACAACAGATCAAAACACCAAAGATTCAAACAAAAACAGAAACAATGAAGTCTGAAGAACCTAAAAGGAAGTGAAGACTGACTTTTTTTTTAATTTTTTTTTTAAATTCCAACAACCTATAGGATCTTCGAAAACTTATAGGGTTCAAGCAACAAATAAGAATGTGTAAACCCTAAAGAAGAACAATCAAGAATACTGAACGGAGCTAAACTACGTTCCCCACTTACAGAGGCTCGTGCATAAGACCTGCAGGCGTATCAAGGCTGAGTTGCCACTGTCGTAACTGTAGGGACCCACCCTCGGTGCCGCCAACGCCAATGTTGCCACTGCCTTCGGGAATTCCTGCCCGTGATGTGTTGGCATCTTGGGGATTTCTGCGCAGATTATATTTAACAATAATAGATCAATAATTACCAAGAAAATTAAACTTCTAAGAAAGGCTACGGAAGCGACCAAAAGAGACAGAAATTAAGTCACAAGAGAAAAGTCGACACTGAGCCGATCTATATTGAAATACAAACTAGGACAACAAATACAACTGTTCGCACATTTCCCCTTCAACCTTATCACCAGATTTTTTTCAAAGAAATATAGTTGGGGGCATTTAAATCATTACTAGCTTAAAAGGAGGGTGTATAGGAATAATTTTCTATGGGCTAAACAGATCTCGTGTCAGAGCCAAGGGAGAAGTCGGATGTATGACAAAAGACGGATACGCGACAAAATAAAGACATTCTACGTCGACAAGCAATGAGAATATCCAGTTCTATGGATTGAGCAATGAATTGCAAACTATTCCGGCCCACAAAATTCAAGATAGGTGTATCAACCATGTGCACCCGTGGAAATGTGCCCCAGACAGCAGAGCATGTACTCCAGGACTGCACCGGATTTTGACACATTAAGGCAAACCTTTTGGCCAGAAAGAACAACAGTGGAACTCTAAACTCTATGGACCACTGAATGAACTAACAACGACAGTGAAAGTGATACAAGAGACAACACTGCTGATATAGACAACTTATTTCAGGCGAACGAAAGAAGAAGAAGAAGATTCCGGCCAACGCCGTTAAACGGCAAAAGGGAAAATTGATGATGATGATGATGATGATGATGATGATGATGACGATGATGATGATGATGATGATGATGGCGATGACGATGATGATGGTCTAGAAGAGGAAATAAATTATTAACAGTAGGGACAGAGGGGGTTACTGAAATAATGGGCACAACAGGCGTGAATTATTGTGTTTAGGAAAAGCTGTCAACGTCATGTCTAAGGCAGCTGTAGGTTTTTTTGCGGAGAAGCGTTAGTACTACTGTTACCACTAAAACTGCTTACCACAACAATCAAAGTTAAACAAAATAATTATTTTTTCATATTATGGTAAGGCGAAGGGTAAAATAAGGGGCAGGAGAAGAGAAAGAGGCGAGGAAGAGAAGGATGAGGAGGGTATGAGTAGGAGAAGGAGGATAGGAAGAAAGAGAACAAGAAGAAGATGATGAAAAAGATGGAGGAGGAGAAGGATTAGGAGGAGGGTAAAAAAGAAGAAGAAAATGAAGAAGAAGAGGAGAAGAAGAAGAAGAAGAAGAAGAAAGAAGAAGAAGAAAAGAAGAAGAAGAAGAAGAAGAAGAAGAAGAAGAAGAAGAAGAAGAAGAAGAAGAAGAATAGAAGAAGGAAGAAGAAAGAAGAAGAAAGTAAGAAGAAGAAGAGAAGAAAAGAAGAAGAAAGAAGAAGAAGAAGAGAAGAAGAAGAAGAAGAAGAAGAAGAAGAAGAAGAAGAAGAAGAAGAAGAAGAGAAGAAGAAGAAGAAGAAGAAGAAGAAGAAGAAGAAGACGAAAGAAGAAGAAGAAGAAGAAGAAGAAGAAGAAGAAGAAGAAGAAGAAGAAGAGAAGAAGAGAAGAAGAAGAAGAAGAAAGAAGAAGAAGAAGAAGAAGAAGAAGAAGAAGAAGAAAAGAAGAAGAAGAAGAAGAAGAAGAAGAAGAAGAAGAAGAAGAAGAAGAAGAAAAAGAAGAAAGAAGAAGAAGAACAAAGAAGAAGAAGAAGTGGAAGAAGAAAGAATGAAGAAGAAGAAGAAAGAAGAATAAGAAGAACAAGAAGAATACGAAGAAGAAGAAGAAGTCGAAGAAGAAGAAGAAAAGAAGAAGAAGAAGAAGAAGAAGAGAGAAGAAGAAGAAGAAGAAGAAGAAGCAGAAGAAGAAGAAGAAGAAGAGAAGAAGAAGAAGAAGAAGAAGAAGAAGAAGAAGAAGAAGAAGAAGAAGAAAGAAGAAGAAGAAGAAGAAGAAGAGAGAAGAAGAAGAAGAAAGAAGAAGAAGAAGAAGAACGACAGAGAAGAAGAAGAAGAAGAAAAAGAAGAAGAAGAAGAAGAAGAAAGAGAAGAAGAAGAAGACGAAGAAGAAGAAGAAGACGAAGAAGAAGAAGAAGAAGAAGAAGAAGAAAGAAGAAGAAGAAGAAGAAGAAGAAGAAGAAGAAGAAGAAGAAGAAGAAGAAGAAGAAGAAGAAGACGAAGAAGAAGAAGAAGAAGAAGAAGAAGAAAGAAGAAGAAGAAGAGCGAAGAAGAAAAGAAGAAGAAGAAGAAGAAACAGACGAAGAAGAAGAAGAAGAAGAAGAAGAAGAAGAAGAAGAAGAAGAAAGAAGAAGAAGAAGAAGAAGAAGAAGAAGAAGAAGAAGAAACAGACGAAGAAGAAGAAGAAAAAGACAAAGTAGTAGAAAAAGGGGGAGGAGAACGAGTATTGAAAACGAATCAGAAGAGGGGAGAATGAATAGGTGAGGCTTAGAAGAACAAGAATAGGAGGAACCGGAGGAAGATATTCACGCGGAGAAAAATGAGGAACAAGAGCAAGAGGAGGGGAAAAAGTGGCATAGCTGAGGTCAAAATCTACTCACCTGCCGTAGAGAAACAGAGTATGGTAAGGCCGAACCTTGGAATCCCTCTCTCTTCGACTTGTCATAAATCCGTCGCCTCCGAGTGGCTTGAGCCGGTCTGGTCGCTTCTCTGGGTCGAGCCATCCCGAGGCGTTGACGCTCATCTCCTGGTAGCGTTCCCTGCACACAAACATCGAACACTTAAGATGATCCCCGTGTGGGTTCTGGGACCCCAAAATATGGAAAACAATAATAAACCCCACTTGTGTGCCGAGCCCCCCCCCCCCACCCCAACAGGCATCTCGTGGGAGTCAACTGTGGACATTCTTCGAAGGAACCAGAAGTCTGCATACTAGGGCTGTACCGAATATCGCCACAAACTGCG